ATACAGACTGGGCCGCACTGTCAACGGGCGTGATGTAACCGGTCCAAGCTAAATGTCAGAGGATGAGATTCATGGAGGACGTGCTGCGTCAGGGGAGAAAGTGGAAAGTTAGCAGTAAATCCCAAATGTCAATGAGTAGATGATGTAAGACTGCCGATTACAGTATATACTTTTATTGTCTTTAAACAAGGGCTGTTGTAAGAGAAATTCCTGCTTCCCATCAGTGACTTAATCAGGGTGACTTGGGTAGCACCTGTCTCAGAGGAGAATGTCCTGGCTTTCGGAGTCCAAAGTGAACTGCAGTGAGCCTCAGCTGCACCTCAAACAGCCCCTGAGTGTCATATCCAGTCAAAGCCAGAGTGGCACATCCCTGTCTGCTGTGGCTGTTCTACTCAGTGTGCGCTCGCTAAAGGGGCATGACATCTTACTTAGCATGTGCCTTGTGGTCAGATGGTTTTGACTGCTATTCAGTATGTCTATGTGTGCACACATATGGGTACAAAAACTGGATGAAATATCTAGGCTTTGTCTTACTGCATTTGTATTGAAATGTTAGACTCTAACCAGGGACAGGGGGCTGAAAATTAGCTCTTAGCTAGACACCCCATATGCACTTCACTGGTTGACTGAGTGTGATATTGTTTAGTTGCATGTGTCCCTGTAAAATAAACAAATAAAAAAAAGAAAAAAACTTGAGTGTTTGTACGAGCGTACACGCATTGGTACACAAGTGTCGTCCAGCAGCAGTGTGCTTATTTTAAGGGTGTTGACGGTTTCCACTGAAAGCTCACAGCAGCTCAAAGAGGAGCATAAAATTGGCAAGTGAGGGGGAGTTAGCATGCTGAGGTCTTTGCCACCTCATAGCTCACTGGCTGAAGATGTCTGGATTTATTCTGGGAATGCTACATTTGAGAGAAATAAGTGGGAAGGCAGTTCCTCTCTGCTGTGTGTCTGAATACCCTCCAGTGGTGTCAGTCTCTGCAGTGCTGTTCAACACAGAGCGAACGAAAGAGAGTCAGGGTTAGGAAGTTGTAGTGTACTTTTTTTTAACTTGTATGTCACCGTATTACAGTCAGAGTGTACTGTACATGTGGGTGGATAATATTTCAACATATTATAAGATAAGACAGGAGCTCAGTTGTATTTATTGGTTGTGTCAAAGCCTGAGCTTATTTGTCATTAGCTAACACCTGAATGCACCAGTGTTGTCCCTTGGAGGCCACTTTGCCTGAATCAGACGTTGATATGAGAATAACGTATTCCCTCATTCCCTCTTTCCCACCTCCCAGACAGCGTACGCTAGACAGTCAGGAGAGAAGAGGCTCATGTGGATTGACAGGCATGCGGACTGACACTGAGACGCATGGATGTGTGGGCAAGTTGCTGGGCATACAGAGGGACAAGTTGGAGTAGACAGAGGAGGCTGAAACACAGAGAAAAGCCAGGAAGGAGGCAAGGTGTTGTACTGTTGACATCCTGATTAAGCAAACAGCTTAACTTAAACATCTTATAAATACAAACATTTAAATGCTATTGAAACAGTACTTATATGTAACCTTAACATCCAAACATTTCACTGTTTACCCAGATACCCATGTATCTGTAACATGTGATTAGTGGACATGAGTATTGAAGGTGATTGTGGACCAGGATTAGGATTTATCACCATGCAAATATCTAGCATCACCTCTGGAATAGTCACAACTAGAGCTGCAAAAATTGATGGCTAGAAAATTAATAATACTACTTGGATAATCAATTCATCATTACAGTTAAACAACAACACCAAATGTTTTCTGATTCTGTTTCCAGTAAATGGAATATCTGAAGGTCCTGGAGGCAAACTGATGATATCCCTGATAACCCATCTGAGAAATTATGAATGCCACTATTTTCACAGTTTTTAATGTTTTGTCCTAAGGCAGATGAATCGCTAAAGAAAATAATTATTTGTTGTAGACCTTGTTACCCCAGTGACCCAGATATATATAAACAACTAAATACAGGACTCATGGGTTGAACCAATCCATTAAACTGTGTGTGCGAATGCTTCTGCCCCGGATATGAGATGCATGTACTAGTTCGCCAAGAGAAATCAAAACTGAGTCCTGGAACAGAGAGCAGGCTTAGGAAAATGCTTCATCCTTTCAGTGAGACAAACAGTGAGTATTTATGCCAAGAGGTCATTTGTGTTTTGACTCAGTTGTTTTAAAGCCCACATACCGTACTGTATGTGGATGCTTTGTGTCCTTTGTGTCACTTTGTGTTTTTATTTTAATTTTTGTCTTGTGGGTATCCATAGGGAAATCTTCTCAATAGTTGGTGATAAAGCCACGCAAACAATAACCCAGAACACTTAGTGGTGCCCTGGGGCAAAGATTGAATTCATAATGGCTTAAACAGGCGAACAGGATTTTGCATCCATATCACCTACCAACATGCACTATTATCTGTAAGGTCATGATAAGTTATGGTGGATTTAACTCATTTAAAAAAGCCGTCAGTCTAAAAAAATCATCTTATTTTTAAAAAGTTTTGCAGTGTGTTGCACACAAATTGTTTGTGCTGTGCTAAGATAAATGTGCTCGCCCTGCTTGAGAAAACACATCCATTGATTTTAGTGATTGGCCACTTCACACCCACAGATCCCATCTGTTTGAACCTGCACAATCAGTGTTGGTGTTTTTTTTTTTCCATTGATTGCACATGTTTGATAATGAGGGAAAGCAGCATTTACAGTTCAATCGACGGAGGTTGTTTTTCTTCCCACACATTACGTCATGGTCAGTGCAGCTTGCATCGGGTTTTTGACATCTGTGGCAGCAGCAGATGTTTCTGCCCTCAGACTGTCTACTTAACAGTTGAATGCTGCTTTACAAAGGTCATCACAGAGACAGATGAAGGGCTAATGATACTTAACACACAGACCATAAATAATGTTGGCAATATGTTGGCTGTTAACTTACATGTTTGTGGTGTGTATTCACATTCATCTGAGCCAGGAACAGTTTCCTACATGTGTACAATACACTGTGTATTCCACATCTACAGTTTGTGTTTATAAGTTCAGATGAGGTGAAAAGGTAACAGCATCCATCAAACAATACTTACATCTTTGAGCAGCTGATATGAAGCTGATGGGAAGTGACACATGCATATGTGCGCTATGAACAGCACTGTGGTATTCAGTGTCAGTGCTGTCACATGATTCCTGATTGAGTCAGTTTAACGAATAAAGCACAGCGTGAGCTATGTTCGACAGAGATCACCAGAGTAATTACCTTGTTTGAAGTCTTTTACGCAAGCCAAAATGTTTAATTTTGGTCAGCAGGAGTTTGCTTTCAAAAAGAAAGTAAATGAAACCTGTGGACCACGAGCCCCGCTGTTACTCGGTTTTAAGTCCAGATATGAACAATAGCATTCAAATGAACACTGTACTGGTGATTCAAAGGCAGAGGAATGGTTTAAATGTTCCAGAAAAGGTCATTAGGGCTGATATTGTTTTGTGGTTTCAAACAAAGCTCTGTGCACTAATTGTTTGCTGTTGTTGAAGATGTGGACGATTCAAAATCACATCGGGTTCAGGTTACAATTTTTTTTCTTCATCTAAATTTCATTCAAATTTCAGGGAGATTTTTAACTTTTAAACCTCCTTACTGGATACATATGCAGTATGTGAATGGTGTATGACATATGCTGGATATCTTCTGTCTCCATTTTAATAACAGAGATACATGGGTGATGATTTGTCAAATAATTTGTCAAACACCTTTTTGTATTACAACTACAACAACAAAGTAGCTAAAGTCCAACCGAGTGGACACACTAACAAGTGTCAACAAAAGCTGAACATTATGATAGCTGCTATTTCCTGTTGTTAAATTTGCATTTTATTAAAGATTTTTTATTTTTCAGTTCATGTGAGCAGGCTTTAGAGAGTGTGAGGTTCTAATTCAAAGTGGTCAAATACAGCACCAGCCATGTTGTAATGTTAGTGACTTCGCTTCCTTCGTTGGATCGTCCTGTAATAAAACAATGCAGGTCTGAGCTAATCACACAGACCCAGAGTGCTTTAATTAGCATATTATCATTTCTGATGAAACCAGAGTAGAAAATGAGGCTGTACAACATAACCTTGCTTGATAAACTTTACTGGTGTTTGTACTGGATTCACTGGGAGCTGTAGTGCTGAATCCACTCTGCTGGTTTGCCCCTTGTCTCTGGTGTCTGTCTGCACAGCTGATGTCTGCACTTCTTCTATCTGAGCTTTTCAGCCATACCTTAACATTTTTAAACTTTGTTATTAAGCTATAGCAAGGCAGCGCCAGGCCACTGCCTCAGTGTTTAATGATGGTGAGGATACCAACACATAAATGAGGCCAAACCAACTGTAGCTGGAGAGGGAGACAGGCACACAGCCACATTTGTCTCTCTCTGATGTTTTTCACACTGAGCCACAACCCTTAGGTTATGACCACTGGGAAAAGTCCTGGTTCTCCTGTTGGCCATTTCACTGCTGCATGATAGTATGCATGTGTGTGTGTATCTGTGTTTCCATTCACAGTATATATGATTCCTCATTAAACCTTTTGTCTTCGAGTGTTGATGGGAAAGTAATTCTGAATCCCTCATGGATGAGAGTTTTAGTTTCAAATTCTCACTGTTTGGTGTGATTTCGGGGGTGTATTTTGAGTGTCGGTTAACGTGCCACTGTGTGTGGAGGTGTGTGACTGTACTTGAATACATATTGGTTCAGTGTGAGAGTGTGTGTGGGTGCATAAATGTTTGCCCAGCCCCTCCCGCCTCGATCCAGGCAGAGCTGGCTAACGGAAGAATTTTGTGCTGCAGAATCGAGTTGCACTCTACAGGGATGCCAGCCATGCTGCAGCACCAGGGACCGGGGCGGCTCTCTGTCTCCTGACTGGAAGGCTGCTGCTGAGCCCTGTAGCTTCATGCATGTGTGCTCGTCCAGCTCGGTGCAATCACACACACAGATAACCACAGGGAGGAAAGGTTGGGAGACGGAAAGCGGCATCACTGATGATGATGATGATGGTGTGGGAGAGCGACGCGTGTGATAGCTAAATAATAAATGTGGCATATCGGGTTTTGTGCGAAGCCAGGATTGAAGCCTGTTCTTGTGGTGGTGCTGAGGGGAGAGGGGGCAGCTAATGGGCCAGACAATGTAGGATGTAGTGATTTCACACATTCTACTCATCCAGTGATAAAGACTGGAATAGACCTAATGCTGAATTAATTATCTGTTTAATCAATTAGTTGTTTTGACATTAATCATATAAGAAATGCATCAGTTAAAATTAATGAACACTCACTGGTTCCACCTGCAAAAAATGGATGATTTTTTTTTGCTTTTGTCTGTCATGCAACATTACAAATCGAATAGGTTTGGGTTCTTGAATGTTGGCTGGACAAAAGCCATTTGAAAACTTCATCTTGGGCTCTGATAACTTATGAGTTTTTACATTTTTTTTGATTAATCGATAATGACAGTAATCACTTGTTGCAGCCCTAAATAGCAGAAGATGTAGGAACGCGAGGGCAATGTTCAATGAAACTGTATGTTTGGGATTATATTTGCTGCTTTTCATTAACAACTCAAACCACCTCCTCTCCTCTCCCCTCCCCTCCTCTCCCCTCCCTCCTTGTCTTCTGTTTCTCCAAGAAGGTGATGCTTCCTACCGGAGCGGCGTTCCGGTGGTTCCAGTAGGACTCCTCCTCAACTCCCTACCCAAAGCTCTGCCATCAAGTGCAATGCCAACTCCTGGATTGTCTCCGGAACAGACACTGGCTAATAAACAAACAAGTAACAAATAAAATCATAGTAAAAACAGCAGCAACAACAAAAAAACAAAACAGTGACAACAAAAAAAAAAAAAAAAAAAAAAAAATCAATCGGGTAACGGATGCACCTACTTATTCCTTGAACCAAAAATGAAGCATAAAGAAAAGCATCTATGGCAACTTTCATTCCCTTTTCTATGTTTCCATTTTGGTACCTTTGGTCCTTTTTCCAGCAGGAAATTTTTTTTCTGTCACTTTTAAACATGGAACTGTTTATTACCAGAAACAGAAATGACGGACTGAGTGTGGACAATCAAGTAATTTCTGTGTTCGGTGTTAATGTTGTTCATGTGTGGAAAGATACAGTACTTGTGTAGAGAATGTAAATTTACAGCTATATTTTAAAACTAGTGGCTAATGGCAAACATTATTGTAATTCCAACCCTTGTCTATTTTGTGCTTCATTTCATCGAAGAGTACTGTTTTCAGATAGATCAGTGGTTTGACTTTCAAAGGCAACATTTCAAATTTTGTCAATTTCAGACTGAAACGAAATGTTATCGGGCAGATCTCCAGAAACTCTTCACTGGGTTGAGGATGCTGTTCGCCAGAGTCGTCGCTACTGTAATCTCCTCAATCAGCCCTCCTCTGCATTTCCAACCATTTCCTTTAGTGAAACAGGCAGCCCTCCTGAGCATGTGCCAATGCTGGTCAGGGCAATAGCACTAAGAGACAGCACTTGCTCTGAGTCTACCCTACTGAACGCACTGAGATGAGATTACATTTCTTTTTTATTTGTTTGTTATATTTTCATGATTTTGTTATGTTGCTGGGTAGCTGCAGCTTTTAAAAATAACCAATCTTTGTATTCGTTTAGAAAATTGGACAGGTTTTGTGAATAAAAAGGAATGCATGTATTTGTGTCAAAATTTACAATCCCAATGTCTGTCCACTTGTCCATTTGCATGTTTCTTAAAAACAGCTGGTTTGACAAAAAAAAAAAAAAAAAAAAAG